TAATTGTTAATATCATTAATTTTTTTATTCAATTTTTTGATGTGATATTTTGAAATAAAAGGGAACTTAGTTGAAAGCCATGTAACAAAATATAACAATGTACAGGACTTGCATTTGATAAAAGAATCTGATATTAACATTTCAGTTTATTTTTAAATATAAAAAAATAATTTTTTATAAATTGATAAATAGACTAAATTATAAATGCCCAAAAGTAAAGAGATTTGGAACAAACATATATGAATTATAAGTATTCAATATATTAATTATCTAATTTGAATCAGAAAATGAATTTTAACATTCTTTTTACAGCTAGATCTAATCTCTCGATCCTGTAAAAAAGAGGGGGAAATTATGTTCTTCCTTTAGGAAAGATAGGAAAAACATATTTATTACAATAAGCATGAAAAAAAAAAGTTCTAATGGTATGATTCTTCCGTCACCCCATAATAAGAAGGATGATATCTTAGTTTTTGGCCTATAGAAACGTATGATCGTTTCAATTTAAGTTTTCTCTATTCATAATGTTAAATTCGAATTTTTGATATTATTTAAAAGACTTATCATCTTATCTCGTTAGACCAACTAATAATTGATTCTAAAACATTTTAAAGTGCTATCAATATAATTATAAAAATAATCAATATAACTTATAATTAAATCAATAATCTAAATATATCGAGATCAATATCAATATAAATCTAAATAAAATTTCTATATGATAATTTTAAACCAACATAAAATTAGGCTCAAACCTTAACGTAACATTCAAATGTATAGCTACAAACATAATAAATATTATAACGAAAACCTATAGATTTGATGATGAATCCTAAGATCTACCATTTCACAGAATCAGTAGAAGAACAAAGATTTCCGTAAGCTACGCTGTTTGAGCGCCAAGTAAAGCAAAACGAGATTAATAATGGAAAGCAAAACCATATAAAAATCCAAACACGGACCTTTCTCCACGGCGGCTGTAGTGGAATACGGCGACGAGGAAAGGCAGTGAACGATTATCACCAAAATCAAGGAGGTCAAAAGGAGAGCCCATCGCGCTCCCGGTTGAGGCATTTTGCGGTTCCGACGTCGACTTGGTGACTGAGTTGACGACGATGCAAGCGCAGCGCGGAGAAGAGAAGCGGAGAACGGTAAAAATGGAGACCAGCGCCGCCATAACTGGAAGTGGCACCGGTTCTTCAAAAAGAAACTCGAACATTTGTTAACGTAATCGATAATCACCGGTCATTCACCGTCACCATCAACAATGATCAGAGATATGCAGAACCCGATTGATCAGTCTCTTGTTGATTAGATCATTAACTTTGATTTTTGACAATCAAAGTTAGTTATTTTGTTCCCGCAATTTTCAAAATTGAATTCTAAATGGTGAGTTGCGTGTTTGTATTATTAATAAACCGATTAACCGTTGAAAGTTTAATCAAATCATTGGTTAAAATACACTAAAAGTCTTTTATTCTTTACATATTTATATTTTAGTTGTCTTACTTTTATGGGTAAAATATACAAATGGTCATTGAACTTTTCAAATGCTTGCATTTAGGTCCCCAACTTTTAAAACATGCAATACATTCACCAAAATTTAGTTCGTTTGCAATATGGTCCCGACGTAACGGTCGTTTCATTATCATTAGGGTAAATTATATAAATGGTCAACTAAACTTTTCAGGCGCTTGCATTTAGATCCCCAACTTTTAAAACTTGCAACACAGTCATTAATTACATTCTAAACCCCAAATTCCAAAATGCTTCAATTATATAATAAACCTCAAATTCCAAAATACTTCAATTACATGCTCAATCCCAAATTCATAATCCATTCTCAAAATCTGCCATAACAAATTGAACTTGAAGTAGCAACCACAAACCCTCAAAACATAACCGTTTAAAAAAAATAACCAACTATAAGTGAAGAATAAGTGATTATGTTGGGTTTAGGGTTATGTTGGACCTAAATACTCAATTCAGTTTATAAAATAGTTTACTCGAATTTTTTTCAAGTTGAGTTTTTAAAATTTAAATCAAGTCGAATTGAATTGAATTTTCGAGTTTATGTTTAAATTTAATTATAAATATTTATCATATTATAATATTATTTGATTCTAATTCAGTTTAGTTTATAAAATAATTGACTCAAAAAATTTCGATTTGAGTTTATAAAATTTAAATCAAGTCGAATTGAATTTTCGAGTTTCTATTTAAATTTAATTATAAATATTTATAATACTATAATATTATTGATTCTAATTTAAATAGTTTTTTAACCATATGCAATGCATATATTTCTTCATATTTTTTCCATGTGTGGTATACATATATCATACAAGTCAAGGGACTTGACTCAAACTTAAAAATTAATCCACTAATTACTAAAAATTTTGAGATATTCAAGTTGTATTTTACAACTCGATTTTAACTTAATTTTTTTTAAAGTTGAGTTAATGAAATTACAACTCAAAGTCAATTTGTATCAAATTTTTTGAATCAAGTCGAAAATTAATTTTTTCGAATCTAATTGAGTATTGTTCACTTATAGTTGGTTAAATCTAACTTTTAAATCCTAAACCCAACATAATCACTTATTGTTATGGACCCAAAATGAACTAAATGTTGTTGATTATATTGGGTTAATTGGTGGAGAAATTTAGCATTTAGGGTTATGTTTTGAGGGTTTAGGGTTGTTGTTTCAAGTTCAATTTGTTATGACAGATTTCGAGAATAGATTATGAATTTGGGATTGACCATGTAATTGAAGTATTTTGGAATTTGAGGTTTAAAATATAATTGAAGCATTTTGGAATTTGGGGTTTAGAATGTAATTGATGATTGTGTTGCAAGTTTTAAAAGTTGGGGACCTAAATGCAAGCGCTTGAAAAACTCAGTGACCATTTATATAATTTACCCTAACGACAGTAAAATGACCGTTACGTCGGGGATCATATTGCAAACGAAATAAATGTTTGGTGATTGTATTGCAATTTTTAAAAGTTGAGAGACCTAAATGCAAGCATTTGAAAAGTTTAATGACCATTTGTATACTTTACCCTACTTTTTTTTACGAGTTTAGGCTCATTTGGTTTTCGAAAAGATTAGCTAACTTCATTTTTTTTCAATTTTAAAATATATTTCTTATTTCTTATTTTCTAGAAATTGAAAATACGTTAAGTAAATAAAAATGAAAATATAACACAATTGGTTATTTATTTTCTTATAATATAGATATAATAAAATGGGTCAATTATAAATTTCATCACTCAATTTTTTCTCTTTTTTATTTTAGTCATTAAAATTTAAATTTTTTGATTAATTATTAAACTTTTGAAATATCTTTATTTTGGTCACTCGATTATATAAATAGTTAATGACTATATGATACGACAAATGAAACCAAAACAATATTATATTAGAAAAACTAAATGGGTAAACTATGCCAATAGTCCCATTTATTTTCGGCCTGACGGACTTTAGTCACCAATTTTTTAATTAAGTGTGTTTGGTCCCTAACATTACCGGTTCATCCTGTTTAAGTCCATGGGCCATTAACTTCTGTTAATCCATTAACGACAGTATTACGTGGCAATTTTAAAACAATAAAAAAATTCACATTCACAAGTTGTGTAACTGACGTGGCAGTCTTCTACTTCTGGATGGTAAAACACAACATAGTTTAGCTTGGGTACGTGTAGGAAGTTCACGTCAGCGAAGATTGAATGATTGGTTAAATCGGAGAAACTTTTCTAGAGAACTTAAGAAGAAATCGTCACAAGAGATCTTTGAGTTAGCGTACTGATTTCCGCAACTTTTATGACTCAAAATGCGACCCCCATTTGTTTACTGCACCCGCACTCTTTGCACTCAAATTCAACGACTGAAAACTCAACAAGTATATACTTAAACTAAAAAAGCATACCTTAATGGTTAACCCTAACAAGAAGAAAAACACACCAATATGTACAAAACAAAGGCAAAAGAACAAAATTAGTACTAAAAATGATAAAAGCCTCCATCGTTTCTTATATTACATCTTAATTTATGATTGAAAAATAAATTATGATAAAAGCCTCCATTGTCCCCGGCCTTCCTTCGATAACCCACCGTTATGATTGAAAAATATTCTGTCAAAATGACTCCCCAAAATTTTCACCAGAATTGATTTGTCCTCCTAAATGCGAATTTAATGTTTATTTAATCAAATACATCTTAATTTGTATGTATCTAACGTTGAACCAATTCCGAAAGCTATGCTTCTTCTCTATCTCCTTCATCGCCTCACCGTTGGGTTCGACCAACAAACCTCAAGAACTTTGAGAACCCAAAATAATCACAAACATAAGTATTTCTTCTTCTTTTTCTTTTGCTTCTTGTTTTCACCCATCTTGATTCTCTTTTGTTTCTAATTCCTTGGGTTTGAGTCCTTCCTTTTTCGTTTTAGATTGGCGATGGATATTTGATCTTAGTTTCTAGGTTTTGTTGAAAGTGTTTCACCAAAGACGGTGGCAGTTGATGTCGAAGGTGGTGATAAAGTGGGTTGTGTCCAGCTAGGTAAATAGTTGTTGGATTAACAATGGTGACAGGATAACGAGCTGGCATAATCCTAAAATTGACCCCATTAAAATGATCATAATGCTTTTTATTCTATTTGTTGAATAATTTATCTATAATATTTTATTTTAAGACAAAAAAACATTTAACATGTCTATTACTTTTTTTAAGACATTTTAACCATCGTTTTAGTTTGTTAAAACATCTCTCGTTTTAGAGCATTAATCTTATGTTATCTAATAATTTTTATCTATTAAAAATTGTCTTAAAATAAAATGTCGAGGAAGAATAAAAGTGTAATCAAAATCTGAGTTGGCATATATGTTACTAAAAAATTAATAAAAAAACAAAACCAACAAAAATTCGGGAGAAATAACCCAAACACAAATTATTCAAAAGCACATTATAAATTTAATTTTTTTAAATTAAAATAATAGAGACTAAAGTGGAAGTCGAACTTGAAGCCCAAATCACTCCCTTTACCAATTTTGTTTAAAAAATGACATTTTCAATATCCAAAAGTAAAACTCATCCCAAGCAACAATTCCAAGACAAAAATGAATTTAAGCAAATCAGCACCACATCTATACTTCTTTTCTTTTTACCCTTTTAAAACAATAAAAGAATCAAAATGATTTTGAAAAGGGATATATATAAACATTCACCAGCTCTAACTAAGATATTTGATGTATTAAAAAGCACACTACACCTGCTACGAAATTAAACGAAAAAAGTACGAAACACATTCGAAGCCGCACTACCTTCGACTTCTTCATGTTCTATGTTCAGATTTGTGTTAATATTGCCAGTCCCGAAAAGCAGGGGGGGAACGGCGAAGTACACACTTTATAGACAAGTTTGTTTCCGTATCTTTAAGATGCAGCTTTGGAATCGTCATGCTTTTGGCTACCTGAAAGATCTGAGTGAAAAACCAAAAATAATCAGACAACTAATGCATATAATCAAATGATCTCGAATAGGAATATACCATAATCTCCAATAGAGGCAAATTTCAGGTCGGTTTTTCATTTGAATTCGAGTCGTTTCAACTTTCAACCATGGTTATAAATTGAGTTGGATCAGGTTTTTGGATTCTTACTCTCATTTCTTCGACATTTAAACATTCTCGAAAAGTACTTGCTGACCGATGTCTCTGGAACAGGTATAAACTTCCCAATGAGAGCAAGTGGCCAACTGATTTGAAAACGAAAACAGTAATTAGATGATGAACTGTGAAGAATGTAATCAAATTTTAAACTTTAAAAGCTATTAACCTGATAAAACCAATAGCAATCGATACCAGCCACAACTGCCAGCTAAGCTGCACGGTTTTGGCAAACTTCCCGAGGAACTCGACAATAATAGCCTGGACAACAACAAAAAGAAGAATGTAGAACCAAGAAAAATCTAGAAAACAAATGCCGATTAGATTGATTTCTGGCAAACAAATCTCACCTGAAGTATTACGGTTATTGCCACAATTCCAATGAACAGATAGTTTTTACCTAGTCCTCTGAAAATGTTCACTTCATCAGGCTTACGAGCATTGAACTCATTAAAGATCTGCAATTGACACAAGTATTATTTCCACCAATCCATTATATTTATTTGCATATTCAAGTTCAAGCTCATTTGGGTCACTAAAAGACCACAAAGAAGATCGCCCGAATAAAAATAACAATATAGCCGTCATTACCGGAATATTGAACACAAGATTTTCTATTCTAACACTAACAATAGTGTTTATGTGGGTTGACGATAAGTTCTAGCAGCATGCAAAAACCATAATCCCTCTAAGCAGTATTAAATTCGGTTAACTTCTTATTTGAGTAGTGGTTGCTTACTTGACAAATGACAAATGCATTGAATATCAGTGTATTCTTCTCTCTGGTAGCATGTTCACTGCTATCATGTTCCAGGCGCAATATCTTCTTGCCGTCAAAATTGAGAATGAGCAGGACCGTCACTTGATATACAGCCTGAAATTTCCATTGACAATACCAGCTTAGTGAAATCACCATCCTTTGCCATGAGCCACAGTAACCCAGAGAGCAAGGGAATTAAATAAAATTGCCAAAATAGTAACATCTAGAAATCAGTATTATATCAAAGCTTACCTGTATAAGCAAGTTCCTCCACATGATATTAGTTATAAGAGGTTCCCTGAAAAACAAACCATCAATTTTAACATAAACCTTGAACTAAAATATAGACAAAATAATACAAATGCTATGTACTAGCCCTAAAGACGAGATTTGCTTGGCACCTGCTAAGGTAGGTTAAGAATCAAGATTTAATTCAAATCGTATACCTTCGACCTACAGGTGTTCGGTGCATCAAGTGGTCGGTTGGAGGTTCAGTAGCTAATGCTAATGCTCCAAGAGTATCCATTATAAGATTGACCCACAGAAGCTGCACAGAGTGAAAGAAAATTATGCTTGAATATTTGTAAGAGTTGATAGAAGTACTGCATATAAGCACACAGTAGACAAACCTGCACGGCATTCAGTGGAACATCACCAGACGAAACAGCGGCTACAACATTTATAACAAGAGCTGCGACATTAACTGTAAGTTGAAACTGGATGAACTTTTGGATATTTGCATACACAGATCTACCCCATCTGACAACCTAAAATTCATGAGATTCATTATTATGTTGATTTAAGAAGAGAAACTTTTAACATTGATGATAAGTAATTACAATGAGAAGGAATATAATACCTTCACAACTGTAGCAAAGTTATCATCTAAAATGATATATCTGAACTCTCTTTTGCAACTTCGGTCCCTTGAATACCCATTGCAAGACCAATGTCAGCCTGTAATCCAGAGACTACAAATTCAGCACTTCAATGATAATCGCGTGCAATCATGTTAAATAAAGCTGGTGTAAACCATCTTTTGGTAATTAAAATTTTATATAATTTGCATTGCACTGGTGGAATGGACTGGCCTATATAATTTCGACTTAAATTTCTTTTTTAAAAGATAAAAAGTAGAAGATCCTAGAATGACATATTAACAAAACAGTACTTTAAAGATTCTGTTGTTAATAATTTATCTGGATGACCGAGAAAAAGAAGACAGAATGTCGGACCTCGTGTAGAGCAGGAGCATCATTGGTGCCATCTCCAGTTACAGCAACAACATGTCCCCTCCTCCTTAATGCTTGCACAAGCAGAAGCTTATCGTTCGGCGCTGATCGTCCCATCACCTATGTATCAATAACATAATTAGTTTAGATTTTCTGTTCAAGCTTTTAGACCACAAGACAATTCCAAAAAATGAATGCAGAAGCAGAACATACAGATAATTTCTCAGCAACTTCTTCCCTTTGTGAATCAGTTAGAGAACGGAAAACTTTCCCCTCAATGAGATTAGAGTCAGAAGCATCCGCATCTGGCGTTAGTATTCCACACTCTAAAGCAATTGCCCTTGCTGTTTTAAGATTGTCACCAGTGACCATGCGTACCTATGACACAGATTGAAAACCTCTAAATTACTCGTATTAACATAATCAACCTCCAACATCATATCAGCTTTAAAGATGAAAGGAGAGCACAAAGAGACAGATAATCCCCATGTAAGCAAAATGAAAAATACAAGATATAATGTCATTGAAAGCAAAATGACTATACTGTATAATAATCAGATCTCATAGAAGGTAGGGAGATATAATAAAAACTAACTCAAGGCACCAAAAAAAATTGGTTTCATATCATGGTTTTAATAGTGATTTGTTATAGCATGTAAAAAATTATACCTTTACGCCAGCCTTTTGGCATAACTGCACTGATTCTTTTACACTAGGCCGACAAGGATCCTGCATAAATTCTCAAAGTAAAGAGCATTTTACAAATCATGCAAAAACTAAATTCATATCAGGACATGAATGTTGAAACAAAGAAAACATTGATTTTATGAATCAGCTTCAAATTTCAAACATTGGGATGAAAATTATTTTAAATAGAGAAAAGAATGGTGAAAAAGAAAGCTGCAGAAAGTAGTGATTAGTGAAGATCGGCATAAGGAATTCCTTAATTGCAAATAAAATTGTCCTCCATATGTGCATTGAAGTAAGCATAAAGTAACTCGAACAACAAGGACCATGACATGGCTAAAGCTCTTACCCATATGCAAATGAAAAATAAAATATGGACTAAGATGAGGACACGAAAACAGTACATAATTATTCCCCTGGATAGATACCTTTATACCAACAACAGCCAAAAAAACAAGGTCATTTTCAGGTACAGCCCATTGAGCAAGCTCTTCTTCATTAGTTGGAACCTTTTCACCTTCATATGATCTGTAAGCAATAGCAACACAGCGCAAACTACCAGCAGCCATAGTTTCAATAGCCTTCTCAAAAAAGGCCACCTGAAGACAAGAATTTCAAGAAATACAAATTCTTCAACGGTTAGCAACTGCAATCCTAACCAAATAAAATTACAAGCATTATAAACTACATAGCTTAAGGTAGTGACTAAATAAAAAAGGAGAACACTGTTATCCCCACAAGCAAAGTTTCTCAAACCTTTTCTTCGTCCATCGATATAGTTTCACCATTAGTGTTAAGGTACGAAGTGCATGCAGCTAACACTATTTCCGCAGCCCCTTTCCAGTGAATACGAACTTCAGAACCTGGCTGGGAGACCAAATATCATAAAAGGTGGTAGTATCAGAAGAAAAGCACATTATTAGATTAGAAGGAAGATATTATGAATAAAAATATGTCTATAATTATCTCTTAAAGAAAACATCATAATCTTTCAAGTTCAACCCAATACATTTTTAGATACAGTTGCAGCCAGGAATGATGAAAGAATATTTCATATACAATTACACGATTGATGTTGTTCCAAGTAATTTGTTAAGAAAAAAATAATACTGGTCTATTATTCCTTCTAGAATTCGCAAGTTTTTTTTAAAAATAAAATATGCCTTCAAAGTGAAAAAGGAGTTACTTTTTTCATCAGCTGTAGCCACTAATCTTCCTATATGTCTTTATCATTAACATTACACCAGGTTCAACTATTACTGTTAGGATTCACAACCGATTACTAATCCTGAAATTTGCCCAGACTTCTAATAGAAAAGCCACCTAAATGTGTCACCAGTTACCCAGAAACTTCTCAAATAATGATCATTGTAGATTGGAATGTGTAAATATCTACTGTTAATTGCTATTAATTATTGTATTTAGGAGTCGGTAGTTTAGAAGTAGTCTAAGTCTTATCTCATCTAAAGTATAGATAGGCTTATCATAAACTCAAATGAAACCACAGCAACCGAGCAACAGATACTCCACTAGAATAAAAAGGGGTCAACATAAAATACAGACAAAAATAATAAAATTGGGATAGCAATTGGTAACAATACCAAACGTATTGCAACACCGCCTCGTTTTTTCTCTGAGTTGAAGGGGAAAACATGTAGAATAGACGAGCTAGACCTAACAGCATCAAAATCCATACCAAGCTACAAGATTCAAAGACTAAATGTTAGTAAAATTAGAAACAATCAAGGAAAAGAATATGACACGAGGTTGGATATGTAACCTTCATTCCCCAATTAAGAATTGCTTTTTCTGTTGGTGATCCAGAGATCTCTACATCTCCGCCTCCCTAAAGAAAAATAAAGTGAAAACAGAAGACATTCAATAGACAACTTAAAAAACATAATTCAGGAAAAATGCAGTTACTGATTCATACCTCTGGGGTGAAGACACTGCCATTCGCATTCACAGCAATGCTCTCAATAAGCAATGAAGTTAGTGTGTCGGGTAACCCTGAATTGCTGTCTGGAGGATCAATTTTCCTTCCACCAACATAAGCTTCAACCACAGTCATCTGTGCAGAAAATAAACATTATCCATTGATAAACATACATAGAGAGAGATTTTACCGTGGTGATTCTCCTAACATCCTATCCCACCTAATGGCACCTGTCTGTTTAGCAATCATTTACGTTTTGGCATATATTTACTATAATTAATTCTACATGTTGTCTAATGTTTTAAGGCAAACCCGGCAAGCAAATTTAGTTAAGTATTTTTTATTCAATATGAATTGAAGTAACTTGACACCGTAATGACTTCAATAATTGTTCAATAATTTAAAATTAGGACAAAAAACATACAATAGAAAATTAATATTCCGCACAGTATCAGCACTATGCTTGTAAATTACTAGAGCACCTTTTTATTCAGCAAATAGGTTTAGATTTTAGAGTCCCACATGCTGACATCAATTTATACATGTTATTAATTTTTTTAATATTTAAAAGCAATTTTATCAAAAGGAATGATGTTCTCATATTCTTAAAGTAGTTCAACAACAAAGAAAAACAAGACCCCATAAATTCCTTGTGTCTAACGAAAACATATCCTAACTTGCCTGATTCAATGTCAAGGTTCCAGTCTTATCACTGCAAATTGTTGTTGCAGAACCCATGGTCTCACAAGCAGAAAGTCTGCGCACCTGCAGTTCCAACTTATATTAAGCAGCATGAAAAAATATGTTCCCAAGAATTAATTTCACATCAATGTCTAAAAAATACATAAAAATCACCCATTATACATACCAGAGCTTTATCTGCCATCATTTTCTTCATTGAGTAAGCAAGGCTGCATCATAATCATATAAACAGCTATTATATTGAAAAACAAAAGGGAACAGATGAACCAGACTTATGTATATGAACATATTTTTTTACAATTATGTAAACAATTACACTTCATAAACTGCAGCATCTGCCATATGAGACGAGACGCAAGCAGTTGGAACGGATACAACAAGAGTAACTAAAAAGCATTACCGCAACTTAACTAAAAACAACGAGGAGAAAAGACAGACACAAATAAAAATGTAAGAGATAATATGGCAAGAAATTAAATGTGGCCTCTATATAAATTGCAACCCGATATCAAGATATCTAGTAAAATTTCCAACTAGGGACCACGAGTGTTCTGGATTTCAAAAAACTTATACATAGAAAGCAAACTTACGTTAAGGTGACAGCTAAAGGAAGCCCTTCGGGTACTGCAACAACTACAATTGTGACCTACAAAGTTCAAAATGTTATACATACAAAAACAAATATCCCCTTAAATGTGCACATGAGACATGCAATGGGACAAAGGGCAATAGATAAGGAGCACATACTGCAACAGTGACGATCTTAATTGCTCCATCTACAGCATGACCCACACTAGTTTTGCCTGCAACAAACTCTGTTCTTCCATATGGGTCTTGGCTATGGCCAGTGAAGTACCTAAATCATTCAAAGAACTCTAAGAACACTATCCAAAAAAAAAAATTAAGAACAGATCAAATAGCAGAGCGACTGAAAAACATAAAGTGGGGGAAGCAAAAGATATTGTCGTTAAGCCAAAAGTTACCTAACTAAGAGAACAACCAAGACAGCAAAAGCAACACTGAGTCCAACAAAACCAATGAA